GATGGGGAAAAAGGCTGAGAGAGATTAAACAACTACTAAGATCACAAAGCTGATAGATGGTGCTCCTGTTTTCTGACTCCCCCAGATAGTACTCTCACCCCAAAGTCTAATTGATGCTTCTGAGATACTGTTAACTCACTGGCCTTATTGGAAGGTAAGGTAGTCTAAGAAGAATAAAGAGGCGTGAACTTCTCCCATTCCTGGGTGTCACCTGCCTGACTGGGAAAAGGAAACCCAGATTTTCTGAGTCAGACCAATACCTGCCACCATCCCTAGAGCTGCGTGGGCTAAAGAGAGCCAGCGTCCCCCGAGGAGACAGTGGCCTGCCTCTGGGCTTTGTGACGCCTAGTGCCAACATTGCCTTTATGTGTCTTCCCAGCCCCTACCTGTTAGTTGCACCAGCTCACTACTGAGGCACTCTCAGGAGTTCATGAACCTTCTTCTTTCAAGCAGGCTTGAGGATGAGTTATAGAATTTTTCTGTTCAGAACCAAGTATCACATAGCAACAATAACAGCTGTCTTTTGATATTTATCAACAGCTGCACCAGATATTTTGCTAAGTGTTTTATAATCATACCTCATTAAGTTATCACAGCACTGTAAGGTGAGTTACCCAGTTGAGTAAATAAAGGATCAGAGAGGGTCCATAATCTGCTCAAAGTGATACAGCCTGGCAAGATTGAGATTAGAACATAAGTCTTTATCACATATGTTCCCTGAAAGGGGGAGCTTGTCTTTCAGGGCTTATTTTAATCTGCTGGGATGTCCTCTTGGTCTAGACTAAGGCAAAGGACAGGTGGAGACCATCTTCATCATGCAAGCTACACTAATTCTGACAAAGAGGAGCTTTTCTCCCATGTTCTCTTTTTAACCCAAAAGTATAGAATGCATGTAAGTGCTGTGATCTTCTTCCCAGTATAGCACACCTGAAATACCCCACCCACTTCTAGACCAATGACCTCTGGGCAAATACAAAATTAAGATGCTGGAGAGGCAAAGCATTTAGATGTGGTATGACTACATGGCAAGCAAGAAATATCAATTACTAACATCCAAATATACAGCTAGAGACACCATTAAAAAAAGCATCTAGACTAGTCTGAGAATCTCATCAGATTCACTTCTAAATGGTTGACTTGAGTACATTATGATTCATAATTTGAGAAGCTTACATAGTAACCAGGAAAAAGGCAAAATGAGGAATAATTTATCTCCAGGTGATCACTTAAATTTGTTATAAGTCATTTTGTGTTATGCGATTTAAACATCTGGATGCTTAAAGGCTCAAAGATTATCAACATTACTTGGCAAATAAGACAGGACAGACATGCTTCTGTCATGCTTCTCCATGATTATCAAGGAAGCAGAAATCAAATAATCAAGGGATTTGTTGGATTACCTTTGGTCCAGGAAGTCCATGAGGTCCCTGAAAATGGAAAACAGAGCTTTTAATTAAGAATTGATTCTCTGTTTCCCAGCAGGAGTGAATATTATATCACATAACAAAAGAGATGTAAGACAAGAATCTTCTTGTTTGAGCTATAGCTAGAGGCAGGCTAGTGGATATTATTTATTACCTACCAAAAGTTCCTGCCAGTTCTTGGATTGCTCTGTAATAGGAAATTCATTAATAGCAATTCTGTCTGCTAATACCTTTGAGGAGGGAGAAATCCGCCAGGGTTACGTGGAAGAAAGAAGTAGGAAAAAACAGTATTCTGAAGAAGTAAATTATGGTCACTCTTTCCTCCCATTGCTCAAGAAAGAGCATTATTGGAATGATCTAAGCCACAGAGCATAGCCAGTCATCCCTTTCTGACTAGCTCCATTTCTATTTTATACCATAAACAATTATTATTGACTTCTTCTCCTTCTCCTTCTTCTTCTTCCTTCTCCTTCCTCCCTCCCTCCCTTTCTCTCTTCTTCTTTCTTTCTTTCTTTTTCTTTCTTTCTCTTCTTTCTTTTTTTGAAAAAATGGTAATTTTTTCAAATTACCATTAAAAAGTCTGAGTAGAATAAGCGAGATGCTTCATGAGTTCAAATAAAATAAAAATATGACTTTGAAGAGAAATTTGCCAAAGAGAAGCCCCAGATTTTAAGTGACAGGGAAGAGGAGAGGTTTTCCATTAACTCTTCCAGACCCAAGGTGTTGAATAATCTAAAGAAGACAGGAAGTGAGGAGATGACACCCAAGTTTGGGATTCTGGAGCATCATTTAAGATTAAAGAAAAAATTGTTATGTAGGAAAGCTAAGCATTATTATTTAGATTGCATTTATTTTTACAAAAACAAATTCTTCAAAGTTCTTGTAATAATTGTTTATCGGTGGAAGAAAGTCATAATGCATGCATGACTCAGGATTATAAAACACGTATTTTGTAGAAAATCTAAATATACAGACTAGTCAACTTAAATTAACTAAGGTTACTGTGGATTGCTGTAAACATTTCAAGAGATTTAAACAAACTATTTGGAGAAAGGAGTATTTAAATATCCATCAGTAAAATTATAAAACTTCAGGAAAAATTTATATTAAGCAATGCCTATATATTTGTTACATATGTCCACATTAGAATAATATTTTCCTTTTCGATAAGTGTCAGGTAAGCATTTTTAGGAAATGGCTGTTACTTTATCAGGTATTCTTATCTCATTTTAATAATGGCTTAAAATTCCTCTAAACTAATTAATTTTATGATATGAACAGGCTGTAGCATTTTCTAATTTAACTTTCTATCTTATAGTAGAGGAGGTATTAAAAAAAAAAGCCAAAAGTATGCCATTTGCTTAATTCTTAATGAACCATCTAGTTTTAAGAAAATAAGGTCACACTGGGTGAGGTGGCTCACACCTGTAATCCTAGCACTTTGGGAGGCCAAGGCGGGTGCATCACTTGAGTCCAGCAGTTCAAGAGCAGCTTGGGCAATGTGGTGAAACTTCATCTATTCAAAAAATACAAAAATTAACTGGGCGTGGTTGGTGACATGTGCCGTAGTCCCAGCTACTCAGGAGGCTGATGTGGGACGATCACCTGAGCCCAGGAGACAGAGGTTGCAGTGAGCCATGATCCTGCCACTGTACTCCAGCCTGGGCCACAGAGTGAGACCTTGTCTCAAAAAAAAAAAAAAAAAAAAAAAAAAAAGAAAGAAAGAAAGAAAGAGTGAGAAAGGGAGGTAGGGAGGAAGGAGAAGGAAGAAGAAGAAGAAGGAGAAGGAAGAAGAAGAAGAAGGAGAAGGAGAAGGAGAAGAAGTCAATAATAATTGTTTATGGTGTAAAATAGAAATGGAGCTAGTCAGAAAGGGATGACTGGCTATGCTCTGTGGCTTAGATCATTCCAATAATGCTCTTTCTTGAGCAATGGGAGGAAAGAGTGACCATAATTTACTTATTCTGTAATACTGAAGTCTTTTGATTAATTTACACCTGAGAGACACATGTGACCTTCTAGCCTGCTTGACTTGCTCTTATTCTGCTCCAGTCAAAAGCATTTGAAGCACTCTGCCTTTGACATTCTAACCTTAACACAACCGTCATTGGTTTGACATTTAAAGAATTATACTTGCTTAATGGCTGCCTTCCTCACTGGACATCAGTTCCTTCAGGGCAGGGTCACTGTCACCATTGGCCACTGCAAGACACCTGCAGTTAACACTGGCCCTGGCTCAATGAATCAATCAAAGTATCATAAAAGTAAGAAGGAAAAGATCTACCAATATATGTTATCTGAGGAAGTAAGCTTCAATTTTTATCATACTGTTTTACAAATATCCTTTTTTAAAATTGACACATAACTATATTTATGGATACGATATGATGTTTTGATACCTTATACGTAAATGTTCCTACTGAACATTTCATTAAAATGTTCAAACCTCAAACTTTGTCAGAATCATTCTTTAATGGCTATTACTACTACTACTATTACTATGATTATTATTTTTGAGATAGGGTCTCACTGTCTCCCAGGCTGAAGTGCAAGGGCACGATCACAACTCACTGCAACCTCGGCCTCCCTGGGCTCAGGCAATCCTCCCAACTCAGCCTCCTGAGTAGCTGGGACTACAGGCATGTGCCACCATAGCCAGTTAATTTTTGTATTTTTTGTAGAGATGGGGTTTTGCCATGTTGCCCAGGCTGGTAACTCCTGACCTCAAATGATCTGCCCACCTTGGCCTCCCAAAGTGTTGGGATTACAGGCATGAGCCATTGTGTCCAGCTCATTCTAAATCTTATTCTGCTGGTATTAGAGCAGCGGCTGGATAAAATGATTTGCCAGTGTTCACGCTGTAAGGCTGTAGTAGAGCTTGCTATATCTGTCTGTCTTTCCTCACCTCTATCACGAAACTACTCTTATCTCTTCCCAACATATGTGTTTGGGAGAGTGAATGACAACACTGTAAAGTTAATATATCTCAAGGCACCTGGTATTTTCCATCCATTCCACAGAGAGTAGTACAAAATACAAGCTGACTGTTTAGAGGGATGTGTTCATGTTCTCTCTAGTAGCATGCTCATAAATAAGCAATTACATTTTAGAAAGAAGGGAAACTTACCATGGGGCCAGGTGGGCCATGGGGACCTGGTGGGCCTGGTGGGCCTATGATCTGTATGTCCAAAAAATAAAAATGTTTTTGGTTACTTCATTTAGATAAGGCAGTTCAACTTGAATCTTGTGCTGGGGTTCTGCTAAGGCCATTAGTAGTTGCAGAGGAAGAAAGATACTGGAATAAGTGATGTGTTTGATTCTCTAGATTTAGAAATTCCCTTGTGAGAATTAAAAAAATACTCCAAAAAAAAGTTCTACAAAAGCCAGAATAAATCAAAAGTATGTTAAAAGAAAAGGAAGCAACTGATTACCAAGAAACGCTATAATGTCACTACTATCAAACTCAAATATTTCACTAAGCATAAGCAGGACTCTGGAGAAAACAAACAAGTATGTTCTATATTCACAAAGATCTATCCATTGTTATGAGAAAACCATTGATTTTTTTTCCCTCAGGATTAGACAGTCCTCTGAAAACCTGCTTCTACCTCAGACCTCTGATATACTTTGTCTCTCACTGTGCAAGGCTGACGGATGTTTCTTCTACAGTTTGACAAACCAAGAAGTTTGAGGTCTGTCTACTGTTATTCAGTCATCTGGCAGAGGTGGTATAGGTAAGTAACAGGTCAGCGTGTGAGGAGGCTCAGGAACCATGGAAGTTCAGCCACCATGGACTTACAGAAGGACCCTGTGGACCTGGCATTCCAGAATCTCCTTTTTCTCCTTTCATTCCATTGGCTCCCTACAAACAATCAGTAGCAGAGTTAAGCAGATAAAGTTATTTCCAGTGTAAGAGACAACTGAATTTTCTCCCCAATCCCATTGTTCTCTTGACATTTTATAATATTATGCACTTGCTACATAAAAGAAGGATTTATCTCCTTGCATTCTAGCTTAAAATAGCAACTTTACTAAAATCTCTAGGATTATGGGTGATATGTAAAATAAAATATAAAGTAAATACAAACTGGCTTGAGCTTGATTGGTTAAAGTCCTACGGTGTTAAATATATTGAGTTATAAATGTTATATCTTTTATGGTGGTGTGCAATTTAAACAGCAAAGGTAAGTCTTTTAACTTAGTTTTTATTGACATTTATATACTTCCTTGTTTTATAAAAAAGTCTAAGGCAGTGTAGTTTACTACATTTTTTAAAACAATTTTTACATTTTTCTCCTCCAAATTCTGGGTTAGAATTATGGGGAAAACCACAAAACACCATCCCATAGTATCATACACACAGAGGACACTTTCCAGAGAAATTTGTTTTTTAATTGTCCTGTATTTTTTGGCTCATTTCTTTATTATGGTTTATTTCATAATAACCAGTTAATATCATCTTATGCATACTAAATTAAAGTGGCCAACTGTGTTTATTTTATTATCTTCTAGGGAAAACAATTCAGGAAAACATGAAGGCTTACTTTATAATTCATTTGGTTACAAGCTTTACAATTTGAGTTCCCTAGAGTAATTAACCAATAATACCCCTCAAATATTTCAAAATAAAAATATTAGATGAACCACTAGATGAGATTGCAGCTAATGATATAACTCTTTTCTGATTGTTTAATTTACCTTAATAAGAACATAACATAAAAAGTATAAACAAACGAAAACTATAAACATACCGGTAATCCAGGAAGTCCAATTCCTCCTTTTTCGCCTGTCATACCTGGGTCCCCCATGTCTCCCTTTGAGCCTTTGAGTCCCTAAAAATGATAGATAGAGTTGGCATGTAAGCAGCATACTGACCCCTGATAATTACATCCTAGGGAAAATAGAATTCCAGATCAATTTCATTAGTAGGTGGGTTCAATGTTGAGATGATTCTGATTTTTGTTTTTAGGTCGAGTTATTTCTTACAGCACCCTTCTATATGCAATCAGTACTATTTCTCCCTATAATGAAATAGATTAAGTTCTATTAGGCCATTTAAGTATGAAAAACATGAACTTAGGTTTTCACATAATTTCTCCTGATTTTATATTTTTACCTGGCAGCTAATTCTATCTCACCACACCTGAAAACAACTTAATAGATTTCATTCTCAACAATACAGGATGTATTCTGAACCGGGACCTAGTTTTATATAATAACAAATGTCCAGAAAAATTTCTCTCATCTCTATCCACTATACTCCCCTCCCTCCTAACTGCAGGCAGAAGTTCCAGTCACCATCAGTTTGCAATGGTCCAGTCTACAGACTGGTAAATCATTGGATCATTTACCGCACACTAATGCTCAATCAATGCTTAAAAGTATGACAACCTCTTCACAGTGTTCTTATTTTGTTCTCATGATGTCTCTATGAGGTGAGCCAGAATGTTATTTTTATTCTCCTTTACAGTGAGGAAATAAATATGGATTTTGAATGCTAACAAATCTGAATTTTGTAATTTTTTTTTTTTTTTTGAGTCAGAGTCTCACTCTGTCACCCAGGCTGGACTGCAATGGCGTGATCTTGGCTCACTGCAACCTCTGGCTCCCAGGTTCAAGCCATTCTCCTGCTTCAGCCTTCCAAGTAGCTGGGACTACAGGCATGCACCACTATGCCCAGCTAATTTTTGTACTTTTAGTAGAGACGAGGTTTCACCATGTTGGCCAGGCTGGTCTCAAACTCCTGACCTCAGGTGATCTGCCCACCGTGGCCTCCCAAAGTGCTGAGATTACAGGCATGAGCCACCATGCCTGGCCTGAATTTTATAATATTAGTACTGACATTAATTTATATTTTTAAGCATTTTCATCCTAGGAAACTCACTTCGATATACTGATGGCTCATTCTTCAGTAGAGATGATCATAGTTATTATGGTAAGGGGCTTCTAGGCTGCACAAACCTGTTTATCTTTTCTTTATTAAAAACTATTCATGGATAAAAATTATTTATGGAAAGGAACTTTTCTTGTTAACTGTACCTATTTAATAGTACCTAGTTCAGAATTACCCACTGGGTGAGTAGATGCCTGAATGAATAGATGGATCTTACTGATTAAAAACACCTGGATTATTTTTAGGGATCTACTAACAGAGAGCAGCCAGACGGCAACTTAGTGACAGAAGAAGACCTTGCAAAGCCTATAGAAAAAAAAAAAAGCTAGCTGCTATATCTGTAGGAGTCACATTGTATATCATTATGCATGTCAAATTAATTACTTATAATGACCAATGGTCAGAGAAGTAACATAGACAGACTTTAAAATTCTAAGTGATCTATGATATAGCAAATCATCTAAGGTATCTATGTTTTTTTTTTATCACATGTTCACTTAATATGGCATTATTATTGTTTCAACATATAACTCTGATATTAAAAATAACATCTCCTAAACCTAATTTTCCTATCTAATACTTTCTTCTAAGGAGTACATGTTCACTAGCTGTATTAAGAATCCTTTTGATATCTTATGATTTTCCTGATTTTAGCCATTTCTCGGGTAAATAATGGAAACTAAGAAAACACTAAAGATCTTGAAATGAACCCTTTTGATTCCATTCCAAATTCTGAATACTGTCCATGTTCTCCAGCTCAGATTCTTTTAGGGCAGGGGTCCCCAAACCATGGCTCACAGGCCAAATCCATCCCAGGAATTGTTTTTGTACAGAGTGAATTAAAAAAAAAAATATATTGAGGTGTTAACCAAAAATAAATAAATAAAAAGGAAAGTTCAGCACAGAGTGTATGTGGCCTGTAAAGCCTAAAGCATTTACTATCTGGACTTTTATTAACCAAGCTTGCCGACTTCTGTTTTAGGGGGAACCCTCAGAGATATACTACCATACTCTGCCAGGCTACAACTTCCCGGCCTGTTTCTGTATTTTCTAAGGATCTAGGGATTAGGTGTCATCTTTATTTGGGAAAGGAAAACGTTGTCTAAATAAGGCATATAGGCAAGATTTAGTTTTGTGGAAGCTATCGTCACTGATTTGAATCTTGACATATTTGTATTAACTGACAAAAATTAGGCTGGTTTTACTAACTTGGTAATGATTTTACAAGTCTACTAAAAATTTGCAGGGGAGTCACTGGTAGGTTGATATAAGGTATTAAGAACCAGACTAAAGTATCATATGGCTTAGATATTTCTGCAAAGAAAACTAAGGTCTAATTTCAAACTAATTGCTTTTTAGAGTCAATGAAGTCTCTAGAACAAAGGGTTAAAAGAAAGAAGGTATCAAATATCAATGCTCATGACATTTTGGCTTCAAACCTACAATAAAAGTAGTAATCAAGAATGATGCTTTGAATAATAGTATATATCCATGAAAATTACCTGCTCTCCATCCATTCCTGGGATTCCTGGAGATCCTTGCTCTCCCTGTTAAGGTAAAAATAGATGACTTGCTTCCATTCTCATTGTTAACATACTGCACTACATAAAAAAACAATGCTAGTTGGTTAACAGTACAATTTGACTTTCAGCAAATGCATCATAACCCGAGAATATTCTGTTATAGCACATATCTAAACTAAGGGAAGTAATAATCTTTCTTCAAGATTATGTATAGTATTTATATGTAGCTAAGATCCAATGCTTTTAGTGTTTTTATTTTTTCTCCATGTGAGATGCAGGTTAAAACAGAGTGGTCAAAGAAAACTGATAGACATAATTTGATAGCTGACCATATCCTATAACAACAACCTATCTGCCTCAGTTAGTTAACTTTTTTCTTCATACAACCTCTGTATGATTTCTCTTACTTTCCAATTTCAGTAAAAAGGAAAACATAACAGTTAACCTAAAAAAATAAAATGCAAAGCCTCATGAATTTGCAACAATATTTTAATTGGCACAGTTCAAACAGTTAGTTACAAATTCATGATTGTGAGTGTGCAATTTCCAGAAAAGCCTCACTGAAGGATATCATAAATCAGATATCTTAATCTACATAAAATTACTTTTGAATCAATTCGATTTCTTTCACTGTGCCATGAATGAACTAATATTTACTATTCATGTTATGATTTATAAAGATTTTTGACAAACTCAAAATATAGAGATTTTTGTTTGCCTTTTCAAACTGAAGATGTTCCATTAAAAGCAAATTTATACAATATGCCAGAAAGTTAATCGAACAGTGAATGTTTAGTCACCTTTCAGTTTTGAAAAGTGACTAAATAAATTCCTTGAAAAGTAAGCATTATTTTGTATCAATGAGTCATTTATGTGGATCCCATTACAAATATCCCTGAATCCCACACTGTGGAAACTTTGTAAAAACAGCTCTTCTGAGTGTGAGAGGCCTGCCTCACAGATTTCCAACAGAGCTGACCGGAGCCTATATTTTCTAGAAAGGCCTGTTTGGTGATACTATAAACGACAATATTGAAATGGCTAGAGCTCCTTTCCCTGGTAAAAACTTTAAGAGCTATGAGGTACAGCATGAAATTTGAGCTTTCCAGTGTTTAAGGAAGGTATGATCTTGTGGTTATAAACAAATGAAGCAAGAACAGCAGTGGGGGAAGGGCCTTTTCTTATTTCAGATTTCCTGCTCTTTGTGGTAGCAGCAAAGTTTATTTTGCCACAAACAAGTCTGCTGAGGTTGGATGCACCTGGCTAAGCCCTAGTTTCATTCAGAGTCTGAATACTTGTCAGCACTGTGGGTCCAATAATGATGGCTTTGCTAGGCTTTTCCCTTTAAAATATGACTCACAAGTGTTTAAAAGGAGAACATAATTCATGAGTTATTCATTTATCCTTCACCTCTCAAATGGGGTTTGTAAGAGTTATTTGATGTGTAGGGAATCAAACAATTCTTGTGTGATAAATGAAGGAGAAATGCTAATTGAGTAAGTTCCCATTCAGTCTGAGTTCCAAGATTAGAAGCAGTTCTATACTTGACTCAAGCTACATTTTGCTGTCGCTTGGTCATAGCTACATTCCACCCCAATTATCCCAACCTTCTCAAGGACAGATCATGAAACACATACAGGACTATATCAGCTAACACAAGATCTCAATTATAAGACCATTGTGGGGTGGGTGGGGGAGGGATGATAGCATACTGGGAAGGATGGCAAGGGTAGGA